ACACTTTCCACTGAAATGTTTGTCACTTTTTCCCCCGAGAGACGGACGAGTAAATATTTGCAGAAATGCAAACGACAGAAAAAAAAACTCTTCGTCGTGCAATGAAGAAAAAAACAAAGAGAGAGAGAGAGAGAAGAAGAAGAAGAAAAGAGACAAACGCACGATAATGGTAAATCCTAACGTTATTATGAGTGGCACGAACGAGATTTATTCTCTTCCAACGATCGCTCGAAACGATGTATGGCATAGGAATTGAAATCGTAGCCTATTTGCTTTGCTCCCGTATATACTTTTCACAGACAGCACGCTCTACGAACTTTCCTTTGTGAACGCTCGTATCCCCGTGCGTGTATCGTATTCTTTTTCCTTTCTTTTCTTTTTTTCTATTTTTCTGCGGTTCGCATGCAATGTTTAATCGTTATCTCCTATCCTTTTGCACCCTCGCGGAACGCGCAGCAATACCTTGTTATACGATGCAGTGAACGTTCATACGTCTCGTTAAAAAAAAAAAAAAAAAACTCGCTATGTTTTCGACTGAAAGGCAGCGAGAATCTCTCACATTTATTAATCAAACGCTCTGTGACACGCTTTGACTCGCGATACGCTAACAATAATTGAAACTTCTTTATGGAGAAGGAAAAAAAAAAGAGAGGCTCGAAATAGAGTTATATTTTTTTCCATGCACCGGCTGACCGACGTTGCGTGAATTTTTTTTCGATCTCTCTGTTTCATATCATCTATTTGAATCTAGTGTTACGCGGTTCAATTCTTTGTATTCTACTGATGTAGGAAAATTGATAGAGTGAATGTTTTTTTTTTATGTATTTTTTTTTTAGCGATAAGAGACAATGTGTATTGATGTCACCGTGGAGATATATTGTTGCAAGACGAATTGCATTCATTATTTAGGTTACAAAGGAGATTACATACGCGTCTTTCTCTTCAGAGGGAAATTACAATGGAGAATTAATAGTGATTAAGAAATTATATTTAAGACTGAATTAAATAGTCATATTATGAACGAATTAATATACGATTCTTTCTTTCCAAAATTTTTGAAATTTCAAAAAAGACGAAAGTTAAATATTACTGTAAAAAAATAGTCTACTTATAAACAAACTAATCTCTGCATAATCACACGATGAAAACAAAATTGTACTCCGCATAAAGGACATAGAAGTTCAATGTAAAAAAAAAAGAAAAAAGAAAAATTAATTTGTACGATGATGTCGATATTGGAACACGAACGTAATAACAGAGAATTTAAAAAATTGCTTGAAAAATCGCCGGAAGTGGTATTTCACCGGCGTCATTTGAATACAGGCTTTGAAAAGAAGTCGAATATTCCTCCGGTGTTCGTATACACGGAGTTTCATAAAAATCGAGAACACTGAAAACTGTTTCTGACGGCCGTTCTGAGCGCTGCCCCCCCCCCCCCTCCAAAAACAGAAAAAAATTTTTTTTGAATTTCACGTTATATCCGCCGCACGAAACGTTTCTGGCCAATTTCACTTTTATCACAGTTACGTCCCCATTCTCGTGACAAAAATGTCAGACTTCGAAAAACACTTTAACATTTTATTCGCCACTTTGGCCTACCAGCTCCCTCCCCCCTTATTCGCCATGTGATTTTCGCAAACTCGTTCGCAGACAACACTTAACAAAATTAAGATACGACCGTGTAGTGTGACTTTGACTTAATTATTTTTTTAAAATATTTTACTGTGTTTTCTAAATATACTTTAAACTTCAAATTATGTGCCTTCTTGGCCGTGTGCTTTGGATCGTTATTCTGCATAAATATAATATTTCTTTCATTTCCACACGACGCCGTACCTTTTTAAAAATTTTCACTAAAAAGTTTTATTTTTCCAAGTGTTATTTTTTCGTTTAATTTTCTCCTCGGACAAATTCGTCGTTTGAAGTGGAACGCTTCAAATTTTGAACAATCATTGATTGTATAAATATTAAATATAGATATAAACGACAAAATCACGCGAAAATTAGAGAGAGAGAGAGAGAGAGAGAGAGAGAGAGAGAGAAAGTGTGTGTGTGTGTCCAAGTGGGATTTTGGACGGTAGTGTATGAGAAGAATCCGGCGGTGGATTTTTCAAATACGTTCGACTATGAAAACGTCGCTGGTGGGACCATCACGGCCCGCGTGCCATGTGTCCCGAAACTGTGAATGGCCGCAATATAAAATGCAAATGACACTTTCGACCGAGCCGCGAAGGGCGTCTCATTTTCGTGAAAGGCCGTTTAAAAAAAACTGCCGCCGCAGATGTTGCTCGAAAAACTTGTGTGAAAACTACGCGACCTGCATGACGCACTTTTGGTTGGGAAACGGACCAGTTTCACTCGACCTCTATGCAAACAATTTTGAATACTACATCTTTTCGCACTTGACGGGTATATAGTGGCTTATGAAAGTATACGAAAGTATTCGTAGATATATTTTGTCGATATATCGCATCGTACACCGTTACTAGATTTTCTACCAGGGAGTTCAATGTATCGTAACTTTCGTTTTTAATAAGATTGGAGATACGAACGTTTAGCTGCAGGTCTCATTAATTATTAAAATATTATGCACATGTATTACATATTTATTACTACTAAGTATTTATTGTCGAGAGCGATAGAATTGTTGTTCACGAGCGAACGTTTGGAATAAGTGATTGAAAAAATATTGATCTCGTGTTGTGAAAAGGAAAAAAAATAAACGAACCATTGTAACATCTACATACACAGATACGTGTATTTTAATAATCAATAAACTTTATTAATAAACTGCGTTCGGACTCTTCAATTTTACTAAAAAGCTCGTAAAACGTTAAAAACTGTAATCCTGATTTAACGATGGGGGTTTGTACCGTGCTGTGTAATTTGTAAACGTAACACTTTCAGCCAATTATGCGCAATTTCTTCTGCAGTATAAACGATGTAATTCGAAATTAAACATGTTGCAATGTTTCTAAAAATTAAGCACGTTATGTATATGTACAGAACGCGAGTTCGAAAGGAAAGATGAAGGAAGTATCGGTGCCAGTAAGGTGCTCGAAGAAGAATGAACTAACGATCGAAGCCTGTGTTAACGTAAACATTATCTTCGATCGTGGGCGTTTCGAAGTTCGCCTCCGGACTTCCGCTTGCTGATCGATGCGCATTTCCCGCGAGTCTTTATTTATGGGCCGATCGTACCAGATCGTTTCAGACGAATTCACTGTTCGAGGACTCCATTTGCAGGCGTATAAATTATTCCATTCGGATGAAATACGAATAACGCTGGCGTTAACGGTATCAACGATCGATTTCGTTGCTGTTTTCACTTCGACTTGTCAATACCCATCCGAGGAGACGCTTTCAAAGGATTAAAAGCTTTCCATCTCACGGCGAGTTTATTCGATCTCGCTGGCAGAGAACTACCTCTCCCGCGATATTATGACGTTTCGATTGCAACTGAAATTAACAGCGATACTCTGCGAAGAAAAAGAAAGCTTGAAAAGGCTCGTTCTCTTTCAGAAACTCGTTTCCTCAGCGAAAGTTGTCAAACTACATCGAATTAAGTGAAATACGTATTTGAAAATTTTATTTCAAATTAAACATTCGAAACTCAAACTCATATGCATTCAATAACTTTTAGTTTATTTTGAAATTCGCGATAAAAAAAAGAGTCGCGATCACGCGCCGAATCGCCACAGATTAATCGCTGGAAATCACTTTCCGAACTCGCCAATTATTTATCGGCAAACAGTGGTTGATCGTATCGAGATCGTATCGTTCCCCGCCGGACAACTCCGAATCTCCGGGAGAACGCTTCTCAAATCCGAACAGCGATTAATCAATCGAGCAGATCGGCAAATCGAGCTTCATGGTCCCCCCCCCGATGAAAAATGAATTCTCACCACAGAAGATTTCCGATCGTTGAACCTTCCGCTCAATCGAACGCTCGTAGACAACTTTAGAAAACCGCCTGACACCTCCGTAACTCCGGGATAATGAGCACGTGGCCCGATGACGATCGCAATGTTTCGTGATAAAGTTTAAGAGCAACACGTAGAACGAAAGCAGTAACAATGTAGACGAGTTTCGAAAAGATAACTATCGCAGAAGTGCATCTGATTCACAGAAACTCCATATTAATATTTTTTGATGAAACATTTATATTTATATTTATATCATATAAACATTTATATTTATATATTATATTTATATTAATATTTTGGACCGATGTAATTAAAATTGGTTTACAAATGAAAAATCATATCAATATTATTCAGAATTGTTCAGAGAAAGAATATTAAAGAGATATTGATTAATCCTGTCTAGTTTCTTAAAATATTTTCTGAAATGAACTACATATATATATACAAGTGGAAATAATAATAATCAGTTGTATAACAACGCATCTATAACTCGCGAAAAATCACAAATCGGCATTATTCGAGAAAGCTCGAAAATAAGATACATTATTATGTTCTATATTATATGGCTGAATATTACTGAAGCTGTTTTTCGATTATAACACGAATATAATCACAATAATCGTAATTCAAAAGCAATCGACATCTCGACTAAGAAACCTAAAAATGAAGCATTCATTGTACAAAAATGATCAACTTAACGATACTCGATCAATCAAAAACAATTTACCCGATTCTTAAGAAATCCTACAATCCTTACAACAACATATGATCCTCAGAAAAATTCGAGGGGAATTCAATTCCCCAGATCCTGCACGTTCAATCCAAAACCCATAACATAACAGAGAGCGAGTTAAACAACGCCCGTGTACAAGCGTCAATACTTCTCAATGGATCTCTGAAAAGATGCGCCTCGATAAAGAGTCCTCGACGAGATTGGCCCATAAATACGCCGAGGCGAACAGGCGGGAAATGAATTAGCAAGAAGACGATCGATCTTTTCAAGAAAGAACCGCGGACAGATCGATCAGCGCGGAAGAAGGGAGGGCAGGTGCAGGGTGCGGGGATCACACTTACAAGACTTACGATCGGCGTGTCTGGTCCTCTTGCGCTCCCTTGGCGTCGTTCTCGTTGCCGGTGTCTTCGTCGCTGTCTTCACCAACGATTCCAGCAACTCGTCGTCACCGTCGGTCAGGTTCCCGTTGGTGTTCTCGTCCCGAAGCAACGGGCCCAGCGACGTCCGACCTGAAACACAAAAATTTCGTTCATCAGTTCTTTGTTAGAATTCTGATATCTCAAACTCGAATTTCGATGTACATACGTATCGTTAAATCGCGAATTTTTGTACAAAAGTGTACATGGAATATCGAATTTGACAATGTTTAATAAATAAAACGAATCTCTGCCTAGTTCCCTTTCACTTTTCGGAAACTATTATGAAATTGCGTAAAAATCCGCAGTTTAATCAAATGTTAATTATATGGGAAATTTAATATAAGAGTGAAAAATGTTGATAGTTCATAAACTATCTGTTACAAGTTTAACATTTACTTAAAGAAGTGAATCTAAATTGATACGATATTTAAGTGAAATAATTAGTAAGATAAACAAAGCTAATTAAATAGTAGAAAACGGACGAAGAAATTAAAGAAGAATTTATTGTACACGATAAATTAATATATGTTTGTTCGTAAGATGATCAGAAACCACTTTATGATACATAATACACATTAATATTCCGTCCAATTTATAAATTCATTCGACGAGTGATTTTTCTTTCTCTTCAATAAATAATTTCGATGATAACAGATAATATTGTGTGAAAATTTATTATGCATTCATTCAAGTGAACTTCATATACACACAACAGAGAACTTAACGAAACTGTCCTTAAATAATGAACATTTCATTTTAGAAGTAATTAGTTGAGAGAAGGGTTAATCTTAACGGCGCGACAATTTCACCGGGCATAATGAATTCCCATGATCTCTAAAGATGAAAATTAATTACCAAAAGATTCTTCATAATTAGTCGTGAGTAATCGCTCCGTTACTTAAAAATATTCGGCATTAGCACACGCGATAAACTTCCGATATCAGGAAAGTTCTGCGGCTAAGACTTTAGAGCTGCGAACTACGTCGAATGCAAACTGAGAATAATCCGATTAGACAGTGGAATATTTCCGACGAACTTCCCACGATGAAAGATGCATTCCAGATGAATGTGTCGCCACGTGGAAAATTACATCATCGAAACGAAACTGTCTGTTTACGCGCACGGTTGCAGAGAATACTGATGATTTATCGAGGAATCGACGAGATTCGCTCGTTGAAAATAGCAATGGTACGCGGAGCTACACAGAAATCAAACCAATCGACTTTTCTGACAATCTCTCTCTGATCAACAATTCTCAAAATAAGATAAATCTGAAGAACATGGGACAATAATCAATTTTAAGATAGATTTAAAAAGCAGTAAAGTTCTTTTGTAAAGTTGCTTTCTAGTTTTCAATGAAATAATTCTCCGATTGTGTGATGCTAGGTGTTTAGAATTAGTTGAGGATATATTCGTAGAAATATTTCTCTTTATGAAAAAGTGGAAGTTCTTTTCCCTTGTCGTATGTCGTCACAATTTTACGTTCGTACTACTTTTGCTTCAAAATTTTTGTTCAATACATGCATATACAAAAAAGATGATCATTAGCAACATAAACTTGAGTTTCTAAACGTTCAAATCGAAATATAGAGAATAATAACAATTCTAAATATTCAAATAAAAAATAAATTTGATAAAACAACTTCTTGAAATGTTGCATATAAATCCTGTTGTAACTTCAAATAAAATAGAGTCGATCGTTTTGACTTTCGAGAGGCTCAGAGATAGAAAGAGGAAGGGAATTGATATGTTTGTTTGAAAATTGCAAAAATTAAATGATACTCTTAAAAACAAAAAAAAAAAAAATTTGACAATCTACGACGTTGATGTTAAATTAAAAATATATCCTGACGCCATTGTGCAAGAGTTTGCAACAAGATTTCTAAAATGTGTCCTTAGAATGGCGCAGCCCATTGAAACTCGAAACACAAAAATATTACACGTCAGCCCCCTCGAATCTCCTCTATCATTAACAATTCCTGACACACATTTTCGCGGAGCATTGTGCTGCGACGTTTACTCGAGTTCTGGCCGGTACGAGGTAGACGGGCTGGGCCATTCTTCTTTCGTAGAGGCTCGCCGGTCAACTCTTGGCGGAGCACAGTCTCTATACTGGCCCTCCCCCCCTGGTCCACGGGGCAGAGAAACTTCGGAACCGTCAAAAGCACGGCGAGTTCCTTTGAGAGCTTCTTTGAAACTCGGCTGAAAGAAGCTTCCATTGGCGGTCTCGCCGGCCTGTGTAAATCCGACGCGAAGGTGGCGGACGAAGAGAAGAACGAGAATAAAGAACGAGATGAGAAAGCAGTGGGAATTTCCATGGACCAGGGCCAAAGGGCCAAGTTTTCCAACGTGGTCAACCCGGCACTCAATGTCACAGGCTACTGGACTTTCGTAGTTCCGCTTATTGGCGGGAAGGTTAAACGACTTTGACTTTGCGACTGTTGAACAGGAAACTGTCTATGAGAAACTACTCTCGGAAGTCACGGATGACGAGAAACTCTTTTTCAAATTAAATCCATGTGTATAAAGTGTACAAGCTATGATATAGTTAGAATCACTTTCAACATCAGATGTTTCAATCTTCGATGAATAAATTTGACCAACGATTGAGACCAGTTAATTATTAAAGTATACAAGTGCTCTTGGCCAATAACAAACTAAGGTGTATATAGTAGTCCATTAATACGCACGTGTGTGATACTTTATCAATGAACAAAATTTCTTTCAAATATTCTTTTTCGATTTTACTCCAACAACGTACAAAAAATTGACAATTTCCGATTCAACGGCCAATACTTATATACTTCATTTTTCCAGTTGCATTCGTAAAAATAATAATAAATCTGCATGAAAATTCGCGATCTATACGTACATCCACCCGCAGTCTGAAACGCTCTGTCATCAATATTTTCAAAAGGCGATTCCGGGGATTTAATTATACAAAAGATTATTCTCCGAATACGTGAAACCTGCCGTGCGATCTCTTTCGAAATTGAATCCACGGGTGACCGGATAAAAAAATTCCATATTCACGTGAATTAAACTCCCGGTATTTTATCCTCGGCGTTCCTTGAATTCTGAGCCCCGCCTGTATTAAAACACTTTCAAAAAATAAAAAAAAAATTCGTTTTCAACAATCGTCACATAAATACGACTCTTTCAGGGAAACGACGGATATAAATGCAATAATGGGTCGAAAGATACCCAATCTCAGAGAATTTGTCGCGACAAATCGTGATCCTAGGAGCTAGTGAGGCTAATGATGGGATCAAGTTCAACATGTACAAAATTTTCACAAAACTACCAACTTAATTTCAACAAAACTACATAAATTTTATGCAAAAAGTTGCATTTTGTAAAGTTAAATTGTCTGATCAAGGATGATGATCAATTGTATGTACTTATAGCACTTGCAAGTACTTTGAGACTTAAATGAACTGAATTTTTCAAAAAGAGCAATCAAATTTTGAATATTCATTCGAGTTTGTTGTTATAAATTAAGTCATCGGCCGGATGATCTGTTGCTATTGCGCGATTAGTGAAATTAAATCACGCAATTGTAATTTTCTGCAGATAAAGAAGAGATTGAAATTTTACGCAATGATGGCCCACAAACAAACTGATTGAAAGAACTACTTCTCTTCAGCAGTTGTGTTAATAATAATATTTAATTTTAATAATATAATAATAATAATACAAAAATTTAATAATTTTAATAATATAATAATAATAATAATAATACTAAAATTTAATAATTTTAATAATATAATAATAATAATAATACTAAAATTAAATAATAATAATATTTAATTTTAATATCTTGTCGTCTCTCATTTACAATTAACAATATTGAAAAATGTTTATCAGTACTTACGTGACGACTGTCTTCACTTTGCTCACTCGCAAGTACAGTATTCTGTTAAAATACTTATCCACAAGAACTTTCGATTTTCGAGAGATTCGAATATTGCTTGTGTGTGTATATCATATTATACTTGATCCCATCGCTAGGTGAGGACACCACGTGGAAGGATTCGCATGATACATCCAGATGCTGGGGCTCGCGGGGTCAAAAGGGATGTTGTCAGGCGCGGTGAAGCACCGGCTCGACTTAGGCGGACGCGTTTAGATATTTTATAGGGGAGCATGCACGAGAATAGAAGGAAGGAAAGTTATGACGGTTGCGCTGAGCTCGGGTAATGCACGAGCATTGGCAAGTTTACGAGCCGTAAAGAGGTGGCACCATCTTCTGCCACCTTGTGTGCACAATCCCACCCCGGTAAGCATAAAAACTTCAATGCCTTTTTTCCCCACGGAAGCGAGGAAAGGAGAACACGTACAGCGATTACAATACGAAACGATTCTCCGTGACCTGAAAGATACTAGACTTTCGCTGTTCCGTGTTTTTTTTTTTTTTTTTTTTCTTTCTAGAAACGGTGCATCCGCGGTGAATAATTCCATAATCGAAACGTGGAAAGTTATGACAAAACAGTCCACGCAATGGACGCGAAGCTCGACTCGGTGCACGCCTGCGAGGCAACCGAAATTGCCTCGTCGAGTTGCCGGGAATTTGGAATTTGTCGCGCGAAATTGCTTCGCGAACAATGCTCCCTGGTAGTTTATTGGGATTTTTGTGCAGTTTCGAGAACGATGACGCACGCAGAAGTGTTTGGGACTACCAAGAGAATTTCGAATTCATCAAAAAATGCATGCCAAGTATAATAGTATGAAAATAGTTAGTTTCATAGAGAGTCTCTATTTGTTACTTCGTAAACTCGATTGTTTTGCGTAATTTTAGGAGTAACAGTGGCTCGAAAACTATATAAAATTTGTCATATGTACAAAGTATAATAAAGTGAAAATAATTGATTTTGTAAAATGATTTTAAAATTGGGTAAAATGACTTTTCATGAATAAAGACGTTTATAATTCGTCGAAGTTATAGAGCACAATGTATAGAAATTTTTAAAACAATTATTATAGTGGACATTTTTCTTTGTCAACATAAATTCTAGATGGAAAAAAATAGAATTATAATTCACATATATTGGAGAAAACTGGATAATCATACCAATTGTATCGTGTAATTACGAAATAATTGTTACCATAATTATAGACATGTTTTCAAAGCTACGGACAAATAATACGTAATAAACTTTAATAAACTTTAATAACAAGACTCTCAGCTTGAAAATTCTGTAAACTAAATGAAAATTGATTGTAGCTTGAAATTAATTGTCCAAACTAAATTTCACCTCTTTAATTAATCCCACTGCGGGAGCATTTAATTATAATTCGAAATTACGCTATTCTGCGTTGCTCTTAATATAGCAGCTATATTTGCAGCATCCCTTTATTTCTCTCGTTACATATTTCCCCTCGTTCCAGAAACGTTCCAATTTAACGTGATTTTATCTGCAACTAACTCCAAATTATTTCACTTTGTCGGCCGAGTTAGTTTCTCGTTTCTGACACGTATTATATAATCTAAAAAAAAAAAAAAAAAAAAAAAAGATTACATCATGAATACGACATGACAACTTCATCCTGTTTTCCACATTCGCACCACAGACTCGCGTGACCGGCTAATTAATCTTGTTATTACTTATGCATATTTCCTTCCTTCATTTTCGCAGGGAAACGTGAAAACGCGTTGAAAACTCAAAATTCTTGCCAAGAACATTTGAAATTACGAAAGCATGTGCATGTTCCTCGTAGAATAGAATGACAGTAGTATGTCTAAATACGTAGTCAGACAAATTGTTATTCTAACTGCCTCTTGCAAAGGATATTATTGGACTATATTACACTGAAATTTTTCTGCGGATTGCATTGAAATAACAATTTCCATTCTCATGGAAGCATATTTTCGAAACGCGCAGTACTGTATCAAGAAAACTAGTTACCCTGAGCTGTCCACAAGAATAAAGTGTTCACAAGTTCGTAAGTTCCTTTTATAATTGTTACTTCAATATTTAACTATTTTCAATTATTCAACTTTGAAGTATTTCCTATGATTGCAAAATGCACAACATCTAACTACATTATGTAACGAGCAAACTGTAAGCATAAAAAGAGGAATATAGGGTGGGTCAAAAATTAATTATATTCGTGTTTGAACTTAAATTTAATTTAAAATTAACAAGATTAGTTTTCTCTTTACATTTCTTTATGTTTTATTTAAAAAAAAAAACTTTTGACCCACCTCACAAACTAACCTAATCAATAGTTGTGTCAGAGCACGAAAATTGCAGATTGCACGAACTTTTCGATCAAACCTCGTATATCGAAAAAGACAATATCGCGCAACTTCTCCGAAAGCAACATTACGAAACTCCGAACGATCTGTTGTAAATGAAACTGAAGGCGGAAAGCTTTTCGGTAGGAAGACCGCGAGGGAAAAAAAAAAGTATGGGACAAAAGCTCGAGCTGCTCCCAAAAGAAAATGTTGGGAGAGCGAGGGCGAGGAAACAACAGGAACCTCCTTTCACCCGAGGATTATCTTGTAAACGCGATCCGCGCGTTTCTTTCCACGCGGAGCGAGTTCTGAAATCTCGATGCCGTTACTTTTCATTTTCCGGTAACACCGTCAAACGAGCCGTCGCGACGCGACGCTATCCTCGGAATCTAGCCTCGAGAGCGTTTGCTTAAGGAGAGGGCATTTATCTCGAGCGCCGCCACGGAAACGAGGAGAAATTCTCACACTTTATTCTTATCTGCGTCGCGAAGCCCAGCCTTTTAAGGCGCCGCGTTATATTTCCAACCGCCAAGTAGAACTGTCAAAACTTTGACAAGCTCTTTCCTTTTTTTATATATTTAATATATATATATATATATATTATTCGAACCAACCGGCTTCGAAATGAGATTTTCTTTCTTTTTCTCATTGTTCGTTGAGAAAGCAACGATTCTCGTTGATTAAAGCATAAAATTTCCATTAGAGACACTAAGGTAAAAGGAATAGAATATTTTTGTAATACCATACGCGAGCTTTCATTTATACATTTTGAAAAAAATTATTTAAATCACTAAAAATGTGCTGTTTTACACCTTTCAAAGGTCTAATAAAAATTATAATGACCAATTTTGATTTTAGAATTGAGTTAGAATTTTTAATAGGTGTAATAGGTAGTTCGTGTGTTTCAGCGAATTTGAAGTGTACAATTTTCTCCTAAACAAGCATTTGTATATTTGCAATAACAACGTGTTACATTCTAATTTATATTTTAATATTCTAATATTAGAAGGTCTGAAAATGATATTTTCCTGCGAAAAATTTCGAATCACCAGTCAATACTCTTCGATATCTTGTGAATTAATACAAACTTTAGGCCACGTTAATGAAATTTCCCAGACAGCGTCAATTAAACAAGTAAGAAGATTAATCGCTTGTTCACAAACGTACGACCAACAAATTAGCATTATAAGTAGAATGCTTCATATTTATCCTACAAACACAGAACCATTCGTTCAGTTTTACGTCGAACGCCAGCTCTATCGTCTCTCAACGCTATTAATTCCCCGTCGAAGGCGTAACGAGCTCGCGTACAATTTTACAAGTCACGCGCGGAACGCAACAGATTTCTCTATCGTGCGTGCAGACGAAATTAGTTGCTTGTTTCGCGGTGCTCGACGAAAGAACAAAGAAAAAAAAGAAACAACAGAAAAAGGAGAAACGTGAAAACGTTTTGCAGTGATTTCTGCTCTTTCGATCGAGCGCAACACGCGACGGATTATTGTGTTTTATTGCCTCGTTCGGTATTCCATGGTTTCGCGGAGCCAGACGTAATGTAGAAATATGAAACTTGTCGGTGGCATTGGTGGATATTAGAATGCCTCGATCAATGAACAACGCCGCGCGCGGAAAACGGGATTTATGTTGTAAATTGCGCTTCGATGCTCGATGGAAGAACGAGTCGTGCAAACGTTCAGCGCGATACGTCGTTCTGGGGCACACGATATCCTCCTTGACGGATGATAAATATAATACAGGAAATTGCAAAAGTTTTTTCCCTTCGGTTATTTGTTCCTTTGTTTTTCAACGTTCGTTCCGCAAACACGAAGTTACGTCGTATAAATAATAGACGCTTTATTTTCGAACATTTTAGGTAAGTATTGATTACCGCAACTTGCTACGTAATATCAGGTGTAAAGCACACGTTAATCTTCAATTCAAAGAATTGAGATCTAAAATTCATATTTAAAGTTGAAACTATAATTTTCATTTCAATTTTACTCTTTAAACACACCACACAATGTAACACTCGGCTCTTTAGAAGTACGAATTGTCACTACACGAAATGAAACAAGTAACTGGTTTAAAGGAGCAACAGTTGTCCAACTTTAAACATCGAGCCTGCCCAAAGATCGCAAACGTCCGAAGAGAAATAGTCGAGAAGTGAATAAAAGCGCGTGCGTCTTTCGCGAAGAGCGAGAGAGAGAGAGAAAGAAAACCAAACCTTAACAAGTCGAAGAGAACGAGAGCAAGTTCAGAGATAAGGAAGAAAAAGACGAAGAGCAAGAAAGGCAAGCAACAGTAGAAAGGAAACTCACCATCTTTCCTCTGTCTCCTCCATGGCAGAGTGCCGTGAATACTCTCGACGTCGGAGATATCGCTTCCGAGCAGTTGCCTGAGCTCCGCGTCCGCGCGATCCTCCTTCGTCCGGAATTTGCCAACCTGTAACGATGGTGACGAGTTAAAGTAGACGTCGAATTTTCACGTGACGAGGCTAAGACCGGCCAAAAAGAAAAAAAAAGAAAAAAAAAAAAAAGAAAAACGAGAAACATGAAAGGGATGAAAAGAAGACAGACACAGCTGCCCGATTACGGGAGATCCGCGCGTACGTTTCGACGATATCGACGACAGGAACGAAAACGGAGACAAGCGGGATATTAATGCAACGGTAGGCAAGAAAAGAAATTGATTCTCCCCGCGGCAAAAAAGCAATTTATTCCCCTTGCCGGTGCGCGCCATAATGCCGTTCACGCTCCGATAACTGTATTTGATGAGAGAGAGAGGGGGAGAAAGAGGAGAGCCAGGACCGTTCACGAAAGATTTTCAGCGGCCACCGCGTCGCGTCGTTGCTCAAAAAAAAAAAAAAAAAATACGTGTACCCGGTGGGGGCCGAAGGAGGGGGCTTGTAACTCACCTCTGTGATCATCTTTCCCCTGGTCTTATTTCTTTCGCGGTGATTGGCTTTTTTCTCCAGCTGCTGTATCACCCGTTCCCGCGTGGTTCGGTACTCGAGCGCGAACTCGGACACGATCCGGCAGAATTCGTTCGGCTTCGTGTCTTGCACCCTGTGCAGCGGTATACCCAGCCAGAGGATGAATTTGTGGAATCGATTTATGATCCGCCTGTGCACGATGCCCAGCACGATTATCCTCTCGGCGCAGTCCGCCAAGAAGTCGGACATTCTGCTTCGACAAAGGAGCATCCACAAGTCGGAGATTAATGCCAACGTGTAAGTAACTTGCACACTCGGTGCACGGTGAGATAAGGATTTCTTTCATTTTCTATTTTCTTTTTTTTTCTTTTTTTATTTTAGTGGTGATTTACGAGGAACATTGGCGCTAGAGAGTTACGCGATAGTGATAGTGATAGTTTCTTTGAATGGGTTTGGTGAAATTGGTGAAATACGGCAGTGAAAGGGTTCCGGTCGATATATTGCACCGTGAAAATGGTTTATAGTGTTGTACAGTGACGGATTTCATAAAATGGGATTGCAAGTTTGACAAGAATTGAATTGATAAGAAAGATATTGATCGTCATATATACACATAGACAATTTTTTAACTTCGTAATATAATTGATCACTTTTATCCATTGAAAATATTATAAAACTTATCGCCAAGATATAAAAAAATACAATTCTTTCTCCCAAATGTCCCCTAATGCAAATTTACTTTACTGCAAATGCAATAAATCTGATAATATTTAACAATTTTTTTCAGTTTCGTTAGATAATTTTTTGCAATTCTCCATTTCCGAATTTTTGATGTTTCAATGCGAATCGAAATTCATTCCACCGTTTTGAAAAAGTGCGACGTTATTCAATTTTTATACGCTTCATTCGCGAATCTTTGTCGAAAGAAAAAAATTGAAACGCGAGAGACATCTTTCCAACGAGTCGTATCGTATCTTGACAGCATGAACGTCAAGGTTCGCATGAAGGCAATCACCGATGGTCATTTTTTACATGCAAACATTTCCATCACTGCAGTGCGTTCGAGAAGACCGGAGGTCCGCATAGACGATCGCTTAAACGAGTTTCGAGCAAAAACGAATTAACCCGGCTCGACATTTAGGCCGTCCCGTTACAGTTAATTAACGCAAGGACCGTGCCAGCCAACATTAACCAGATGTTTCGCTGATAAACACAGTATAAGTATTATGTACGTACAAAGTGATTCGCGAAAATATTTGAACTCTTCTATTATAGAAATCTTGGTAATTTTAGAAATTTTATTCGCATCGTAGTATATGAGACGCAACTATCATAATTATATTGGCAAAGTTCAAATATAGTATTATAAGAACTGGTTAAGACAAAATAATATTCACAATTTAGCAATGAAACATTTTCTATTATATTTCTTTTAAATTTTCAAAAAAGGAAAACATCTTGAAAAGTGTTAAGTGTTTTCAAGAAAATTAATTCACATGGTTCCACTAAAAGAAATTGTATAAAACCAATCTTTAACGAGATTTAAAAATGTCTAGCGTCTTTTGTGTACATTGATAATCGCGTCTCAACAAATTGCTACGATGAAATAAAATTTTAATTATCTAGAAACTTCATGTCTCGAAAATAATTTAAAAAATTCTTTAATCTACTCAAAATCTACAACTAATCCATCTTTCAACGTTCTATCAACATTCAATCAATTTTTCAAACGAACTCTTACCTTCCTATCAAATTTATATCCACCCGTACGAATCTACATATTTTTTACTTTAATTTTTTGTCCCACTAGCAACGCCAAGCTTAATAACCTTAACTAAGAATAAGGAAAAATGATTAAAAAAAGGAGAGAGAGTTTACCGAATATAACCAACTCGGATAAGGACAATTTCGGTGGGGAGGGATGAACAGATAAAGGCTCCGAAAATCCACCGCGAAGTAGAAACGGGATAAGGTGGAATAAAATAAAAAAAAAAAAACAGGGAGAAAAAAAAAGAGGAAAAGGGAAGAAAGAAGGTTAAAGGGGACCAGCAGGAAGCGGTAGTATAGAAAGGAAGAAATACGCTTCCGGTAATTAATGGTGGTGCCATTTGGAACCGCGCCAACTTCGCCACGGGGGAAAAAACGTCTGTCGCGAATTTATCGAACATCCCACGAACCTTTGGAAATTTCGAAACTTTCGCCGAGCGAACTTCGCTTGTGCGAAGGCCGCCGAGGAAATACGAGCCGCCGATACGAAGCACGAATCGAGGCGCGATTGTTCGCTGATATATACAATTTCGACTCTCGGTACTTACTTGACTTTCATCATCGTGGAGCCATCGTGTTTCGCAATGAGCTTCAGGTGGTCCCAGGATGCCTTGCACTCGCTCTCCAATTTCCCGATGTTCGCCGCGAGCTCGTCGAAGTCGATTTTCGATGCTCTCGTTACCGCGCCGATCTGTACAACATTCGTGGGCATTTTTCTTTTTTTTTTTCTCTTTTTTAGTTTCGAGTGTCAAGAGAGGTGAACGCGTCTCATGTACGTACAATGGCTCGGAGAATACTCAGACTTTAAAATAAGGGATTATGAAAGAGAATACGTTTTATGTAAATTATTTTTATCGAAAAACTGCACGTATTTCAATCGCGCTACTATTTATTGTTTTCACAGGAACAAAATTATTTTAAGAGCTTTTTAATTTGATCCGTTCCATAAAAGTGAATTAATTCGATCAATTTTTTGAGCGCACTGTATAAAATGGAAACGAGTTTTTTAAATCTCGTATTTTTGATCAAACAGATATAGAATTTGGAGGATACGAACGTAATTAAAAAAAAAATAAATAAAATAATATAAAACAAGTAGAGAAAACGACGCGTGGAATCCGTGTTTATTTAAAGAATTCTGTTTCGAATTTTTATTCGTATCTATGACAATATTTACGTACGTGTGAGAGAGACTATTTATACACGTGTAAGCACAACACAATGAATCATTTCCGCCGCTGTAACGTGCATTTCAATCGAATAAAGAAACGCAAAATGCCGGGATCTACTATCTCGCCGAAATAACTTAACCACGGTTAACAATCAGCCGAGCAACAACAAAGATCAATTATAAAATTATTCGCAGCCGGTAATTACACGGTGGAATTCGGCGGGCAACGCTGCAATTCCGTGAAACAGCATTCGTAGCGTCATATACATATAATAGTTCCGGCAAACCGATGAAGAAGTTGGCGGCAAGCTGAGAGACACAAAGTTCCTGTTCGCGATTTCGCAGATGTAGGTACCGCGAAAATTCGGTTTCTCGCGACGCGAGCGGGACTAAAGTTTTATCCCGGTTCCTCGAGGCGACGAGGAGGAGTTAACCTTGCCTGACTCTCTTTCTCTCACCTCCGAATAGAGATCCGTGGAGTCCGGAAACTTCTCCATCACCATGTGGCAAAGGTGATGAAGCAGCGAGTGCTTGTGAACCGTATCCTTCACTTCAGGTACTTTGGCGAGGTATTCCAGTTGAAAGCCCTTCACCTGAAAAAGGCCGTGGCGACGTTTCAGTATTACGCGACGCGACGCGACGCTACGCCCCGGAACAACCCCCTCCCGCCGCTGGCTAACTTCTACGTTTCCGGCGCTCGAGCTTTCTCCGCCGCCCGGTGCTTCTGCCCACTTTCGCGTGTAACACGATTGCCGTGAAAAAAAGAAAGAAAAAAAAAAAAAGGAAAAAAGCCGGAATCGATGTCGTCCACACTTCCCCAACACGACGAGACTCGCATGTTCGATTCCCTTTCTATCTCCCGTGCTTTCTGCTCTTCCTTTGTTTCAGTTTTATCCATTTCATCGAAGAAAAATAACGAGTGGAGAAACTTGTTTCACGTTGATTTTTCCTAACATTCATTAGGAAAAAAATGTGACATTATAGTAAGCATAATTGTAATTTTTTTTTCATTTGTTAGTCAAGTGGTACTTTCGCCAGAAATATTCACATTTATTGGAACTTAATCGATAATTAGGTCTAACTTGATGAAATTGAAACAGACCAGGATTGATTTTCATTGAATTTTATTCCTTTATTGGTGAATATGTCGCTTGACTTAATTTTAAGAAAGATAAAACATGTATACCTAGACGGAAGATTCATAGAGTATAAGTGACGGGTCTATTGATAACATGAAAATTTTATTCTAACGTATTTTTAATTCAACGTAATTCAACCTGCATAATAAAGTTCACTTTTTATTCACTTCTCTGTCCCAATTCTTTTCTCAATTTTGATTTGCTTAATTAAATTCTTAGCAATGTCATATGTATCGAACGTGATTAATTAATTCTAGTAATTACTGGAACTTTACACGACGATGGAAAATCAAATAATATTTGTGGAATATTTATACGGAAAGCGGGGAAGCTTGTTACTGAATGAACCGCGGTTATCCGATAATTTACGCTAGAGTGAATTATTTAAATCGCACGTAGTGAAATAAAATGGCGAATCAATTCGAGGGGGTACCGGCTGTAAAGGTAAAGTACGAGTGCGCGTTACCTGGCGACCGGCTGCTTGCTAGCACGATAATTAATTTACGATTTTTCGCTTCGCGAGTCAAAGTGTAACTAATCAATGACGAACGTTTGTGACTTGTTTATTCCAAAGCCGAGACAGAAAAAGAGAGAGAGAGAGAGAGAGAGAGAGAGAGAGAGAGAGAGAGGGAGAAAGAAAGAGAATTCCAGCCCAGTTGAAAAGTGGATCTGTGATCGACTGTGAAATTTTTAAAAGTCTCGATGCTGTTTCATTGTACGATACAATTAACGTACAATTCGAAAAAATTCACGAGCACGACATTTCGTCAGTTAAAAACGTATATCCTTTTCAACTTTTTGAACAGAGTACTTTTATACAGCTGTACTGTTCCTCCCGAAAACTACGGAAGAAATACATGCGAAAAGTACTGAAAGTTTTTGTAATACAACGGTGGAATTTCGTCGAACACAAAGTTTTCCGAATCAATTTCAAAAATTGATTTCAGCGGCAGTGCGTGTAATGAAAATTCAGCGACTTTCCTTTTTAACTATCTGTAATTTTTCGTCCATAAATATTCAGACATTTCGGTCGATCTGCAGTATAACGGTATTTGAATTCGATCAAATGGAGCTGTATTTATTGAATTTTTACCGAAAATTTAAAACGCTTAGGAATAACGTGTTTTAATAAAGTGTTGAATATTTCTATCCGTTTAGAAACTTTGAAGACAGAAAGCAAATTAAGCAGAACAATTCTAAAGGAATTAACAATTACAAACGTTAGCTCGCAAATTGATTTTGCGTAATCGCGTTACGATGCAAATTCTATTGCAGAGAACCTTTTTACAAAGAATCAGTATAATCACCCTGCAAGACTCTTGCAAAATTTTCGCACTTATATTCACTCTATTAATTATTATTCGTTATCAACTGTTTGTTTCGCAACAAACTTTACTACGAAGAATGAAATCATCACAGGTTCGTGCAAAATGGAAATTCAGATGAACGAAATTCTACCGTATGATCATTTAGCTTCATAACTGGATAATTAACGAATAAGTAGACCTTCGTTACGAATATTATTTCGCGGCAGAATGTTTGCAATTACCTACTTCCTATGAATTTGCATGCTAATGTTAAACCCCCGATTAAATTCATATTATTTGCGTAACTATGCTTTACATTCGTGCAACGAGTTTCACTCCACTCGCAATTTTTCCCCCATCCTCCTGAATTTTGCCACGATTCACGTGAGTGCAAACACACGCTCACGCGGGAGTAGCCGATAAGAAATGATTAGTGTGCCTAGTGAAAGAAACCACTATCTGATACATTCGAGCGAAAGCAAACGGTGACGAGTGGAAGAAAAAAAAAAGAAGAAAAAAAAGATTGTTTAAGATCGCAAAGTATTCGTCACGAATATTCGTGCGAACGAGCTCTGTTTGTGCGTTTTATATATCGCATGCCTAGTTATTCTGACTACGTAAAAACGATACTGGCTATGGCTAGAGGCGTCGTTTGTCTGTTTTTAAGCGATGCGTTATTTCTCTCTATTTTTTTTTTTTTTGTTTTCGTTTTTGTTTGTAGACAGTAGAGCGGCAGTATGAATTCGTAGCGTTCAATTTATTACTTTTCACATCTGAGTGAACCGATGTGAGATTTAACGGGGTTTGATATCCGTGAATATGATCCGTGAAAAAATATTTACGTTTGTCTTAATTAGTTGAAAGTAATTGTAACACCAATAGAACAGAATAAATTCGAGCGGTATGGAATGTTTGGGTGAAAAGATACAAATAATATACTCAATCAGGTATACTGATAGTAACAGTAATATACGTACAGTTAATACTTGATTCTCAATCCAATATTTCTTATTAAATGCAAATAATACTAAATGACTGAGTTACGTAAACGTAAATAATAAATAATATTAAATTAATAAATGATAATAAAAACTGTATAGATATTAGCTCGATTAAACTGCCTTCGGTACATAGAGCACAAAGGAATATGATTCAGACAAGTAACCAATAACGTTTGAGAGAAACATGGCACCGATCCAAGAAAATCGTCCCTTCTTCCAAATCATCGAGTAACGATTACTATCGGACGAAAATTATCGGCATCTGATAGGTATCGATTCCGCGTGGACGAGTGACTCCGACTGACGGATTAAGCGGATATCATTTGGCTGGCATTCAATACCTACCTCATTTCCGTTGAGGAATATCCCGATCGAAAGGAGCGTGCTCAGAATCCCGCGGAACGTTTTATTCACTCGCAGGGTCTCCATTCCCTGCTTCAGATCCATCAAAGGGTCCGCAATTTCCTGAAGTCACAAAGGTGGTTCGCGATTATTTCTTTCAAGCCGCGAGTTCTCCGGCACGCCAGCTTGGTTCGTTGTGCTCGTCTGCGGTTCCACTCTCGTGGATTCGTCAAATCGTAAGCTTCTTATATACGTATATACATATATATATATATATATATTTTTTTTTTCTTCTTTCACTCTGCCCCACCCCCTCTCCCCTCGAAACTAACGTGCGAGGTTTATATCACGTTGAGAAAGTAAATAAGGTACGCGCGACGCTTATTAAATTCGTAATGGCGCGTGCATTGTGTTTGGAGCGAAGGGTATGAAGGGCGATAGAAAAGAACAAAAGAAAAAAATTCATTGACTTCAACACGGTTTAGATAACAGTTAGTCGAACAATTTGTAAAATTTATGAGATTGTAAAAACGCAATAACTGACGTTTATAGTTGTAGACATTAGACCAGGTAATAATTGGTGCAGCTACGCGACATCATTCCTTCTCTACGAGAGTGAAATAAAGTAAAATTGCAAGTGTGAAAACAAAAATTAGAAAAAAAAAACCATCAAATATTGATCTGACGTTGAACAAAAATTATTTCGTAAATTTTCGCGAAGAAAGACGAATCCACTATACCTCGACGATATCGAAACCGTCTCTACACGATTTTTCTTTGCACGTTGTACATCTTCCGCGTAAAAAAAGGACACGAGAGTACGTCAAACTGTACGTGTCTATCCAGCAGACAGAAGAATCCTCGTTCTGTCGCGGTCAAGGTGTTCTCGCTGGCGCGAACATTTTCCAAGAAAGTTCTCCCGCACACATTCGATGCGGCACACGATCGCGTATCGGAATTCGCCGTGTTCTCAGGGAAGAAATCACGCGATTATGCGGCGAACGTTCCCCGCGACTTCCTTCCCCGCATACCTGGCGTTTTTCCTCGTCGCGGTGCCGCGGGACTATCTCCGCGGAATTCCAGACGAGATTCGTGAGAAATAACGGGCCAATTCGAGCGCCATTACGCGCATTCGTATTCGACGGTGCTTAATAGAATTTACATTCGAAATGTCATGCGGCTTCTCACGGTGTGTGTGTCTCGTGACTTGATTCGACGAGCCGAGGCTGCGATAACCGATCCATATTTCCAAGCGCAGCGTGCCAGCTTGTTAATCATTGCTCGTGCATCTCTTATTATTCCGATTATTAAATTCGAGCGTCTCCGATACGCTAACGAGGCTCCTTGATCTTTTATGGATATAGGCTTGTAGGCTTGTCGATATACGAGCGTATGATTTCCAAGTAAATGAATTCGGTGGATAAATTATCGTGAGTTTGAAGATCTTTTTTTTTTTATGGATTCACGTTTAAGGAAGATGCAATCGAGCTCGAGAATGAATTGAAAGGAATTCGGATACGAATTCGTACTTTAGATTCTCCACGTAATTATCAGTTGATTAAAAAATAAATATTTTCGATACAAATACGAAATGTTCGATAAGAAAACATGCAATTGAAACGTAAGAGAATGTGTAATTGATTGAAGAATTCTTATGTTGATCGTTTTGCAATTTTACGATTTCTCATTACACAAGACAGTTAGATACGCGCCAGACAATTTCTTCCACAAGTTTGATGCTGTTATGTTACAATTACGACTCGTGAAGTTTCATCGACAGTACTCGTGCAATTACGCATTATGCAACTTTAATTCTTTCACTGATAAAAGAAATTTAGACTGAATTTACATTGAGAATTCATTTAAATTTGATTTCTATTACTGCTCAATCATACCTACATTAACAAAATTTTTCCTTCTCATCCATTTACTTCACAAAATAAATATTTGTACAAATCGCAAGTTCGACATTTTTCCTTAAATAAGCTTCACTGCTTGACAGCTACACAATCTGCACTTTGAAATTAATTTAGACGAAAAAGAAAATTCCCAAAAAGAGAAGAAGCTTTTGGAACCGCGCGAGCCAACAAACCGTCCACGTGGCCGTGGACAAACAACGTCAGAATACTCACCTTCTCTGAATTCTCAAAGTCCAACTTGAACGCCCAAAGTTTCAGCCTGGCGGGCAACTCCGAGATGGAGGCCAAAGTTAGAAGAAACTGCTCGGCCGATCCCAAAGGTAGGTCAGGATTGGCGGCCTGCGCCTCTTGTATCCTGGACCTCTCCTCCTCGGTTGGCAGCATCGTCAATAGTTTCTGTCGCGAACGGGATCCGGGGACAAAGGATAGGAAACGAACGAAGAAAAAGACACGAACAGGAAATTAGAGAAATCAGAAAGAAAAGGAAACCATCGAAAACAGAGCGTACGTGAGTTTCAACATAATTGCTGGGTCGACCATGAAACCAAGAATTCTGACCTTTACGGTCATAATTTTCCAGGGAGGCTTTCAACGAAATCGGGATTCTGACGAGTATTCATAATTTCGAGGAGGAAATTAAGAAATTGAAATGGAGAAAATGTCAAAATATTTTCGACTTGGGCGTACAGTGCTATATAATAATAATTAGACTGCGGACTTTTATGAAAATTTTCAAGCACGAATCTGTACAGAATGTACGTAATACGAGAAAATATGTATGCCTGGTATGTAAAAGTAATTTTCAACACGAGTTCTATCTTCTGTAACTGCATTGTCGAAATGTACAAATAAGTAATATGTATGAACGTGAATAACGCATTCTCTAAAATTATTAATTCCATTCTCGAAAGAGCAAATGGAAATATGAATAAAAATCCGTAGTCCGATAATAGCGTTCCTAATTAAATAATAATACCTTTACGAAGAATATTAGTCACAGTTTGTTCGTGTAACTTTCATAACCGTAACTTCGTAAAAATAATATTCTCGAAGTAATAACGTTCCTTCACGGAGAAAATAAGTCGCGTATTTTATTCGTACAACTTATTTCTCCGTAACTTCGTAAGAAAGTTCTAAGCTACTCTCATAACAAAGAAGACAGATTATTACGAAGAAGGAAATAAATTCGCCACTACTGTATCAGAAGTATCATAATTATCGAACTACTCAAGCTACTGTAAACATTCGTTAAATAAACGAAATGGGGAAAAAAGAGAATTACACAATATTACCTCGATACCCTCTCTGTTCATAATGGTTGCGTCCATTTTCAAGATGGCCGTCTTGATAGATCTCGGTGGAGGCAACTTGGTCATCCCGATGTTGATAGCGTTCGATCGTTTATGGTCCAGCACGATGATCTCCTTGTTCTTGTTCATCTCTTGCTGCTTCT